GAAACAAATGAGAGTTAAGAATACATATACCTCATCAAAAATCCAAAGGGAAACACCAGACTGATGTAAATGCTTAATATATCTGAACAACAATCCTAAAATATCTTCCATATGCTCTGTTTTAAAACAGCTTCAAGACAATAAACCCATTGAGGCATTTAATCGAACAGGTGGTGGGCGATTGACTGCAACATGAAACTCAATTAGTGACCTAATTACTAGAGGAATAGCAAACACAAAACAAATAAAAAATACTCGAAGAAGCAAAACATTACCAGAATAAAGTTTACTCACAAAATTTAACTCTTAACACAAGCAGATCCGTTTCATGCTCTTAGAAGCTAAAACTTGTGATTCAAATTTCAATGTAAACCCTAAAAATCCAGAATTAACTCACCTGAGAACCAACATCAAAAGAGGCTCGCCAAGGTGGTGGTGAAACGTCTTCGATGTATCGCTGGTGGAGAAGAAGTCGACTAGGTAATGAGAGAAAACCATTGCGTTGACAAATTGAGAGACTAATGTTAAACTCAGAAGAAACGAAACTTACAGTGGAGTGAGAAGCTAAAGCAGAGAGATTCTCGTAAATCGTAATGGAGGAGAGGAAAAAAGAATTGAGAATTGAGAATATGTGATGAAAACAAGAAGAAGAGAAGAAGTATGTGCTGAAAGGTGATGACCTAATCTGAATTAATTTTTTCCTGAGATCAGCCAAGAGAAGACCTAATCTGAATTAATTTTGTTCTGAATTTTGTTCTCAGTCGAGGCGATGAAAAGATGAAAGGATGAAGAGAGCAGACGCCAAAGCCTTTGTTGGGCGATGAACGGATGAGATTTCATTAAACAACAGCCGCCAAAGCCTTATGAAAGGATGAGATTTTGCCACGTCATGTATCCGAGTATTACTTATTGATTGGTTTAGGTAAATTGATCATGTATTAGATCTGATGAATGGCTGAAATCTCGCCACATCAGCAATCCGAGTGAAACATGATGATTGGCTAATTTTGTTTATAGACATAAAAATGTGTTTTAACTATTTATATAATTTTTTTAAAATTATATATTGAAGAATTAATATGTTTATGAGTTATTTACATGATTATATAATTTTTTCACAATTAAAAAAAATATATTTTGCAACGTTTTTAGAAATTTGAAAGTAACACATATGATTGCCTTAGAATACATGTACACTAATCTTCTTATTGTGTAAATCATATTGTTGAAACACATTAATGATGTTATAATTAATAAAATGAAAGAATTCATTTATGTTATAATAGTATAACTTTATATCATTAATATTAGCTACTATTTAAAACCCTAAAACTAAACCCTAAACCCTAAATCCTAAACCCTAAATCCTAAACTATTTTTAAAAATGAATTTTATTTATGTTATTATTTGTTATAATTAAATATTATTACTATTTCAAACAAATATAATCCAAAAACCTAAACCATACATTTCATACCCTAAACCCTATACCCTAAACCCTAAACCCTATACCCTAAACGCTTTAAAATTATAATTTTGTTATTATTTATATAATTATTAATATTATAATTAAATATTTATGTCTTTTTGAGATATTTGGTTATATTTTTTTATATTTCATTTTTTTATAACTTTTTTTTTCCAAAATTCGAAAATCATTTAAAAAATCTTAAAAATCATTTAACTTGAAACCTAAAGTACATGCCTTAAAATAATTAATTCAATTTTTTCCAATTAAAATGTTTTAAGTATGTGTTTTTGTGTTTAATATATTTTTGCCAAGAGATAACATATAATTAGTAACATGAGAAAACAAAGTCAAGTGCATGTAATAAAAGAAAACACAAAGTGTTCATTTATAAATCCGTATTTTTTTATAAATACGTTATTTTTTATAAATACAGTATATTTTTATAAATAAAATAAACTCTAAATCGAAAATAAAAATCTATACTGAAAATAGAAATTATTTTAATTACCAACAAAATAGTCTTACACATGAAAATAAACAAAAAAATTGTCTTAAAGTTTCTAAACATAATAAACCTAATTGTGATACAGAGGTCTCTGGTGGTGTCTTTGCCTGTGTCTGTGCATGTGATGATTTTGAAACGATTTTGGAACTAGCTGTCAAAGAATCATCAATCACTGTCCTCTGTCAACTACAACCACAAAAATAAATCATCAAGATCAGAGAACAGATCAGTGTTTTGAAATCATGACCAATATGTGATTTAAGAACTATAGTACAGTACCTAAGAGAAGATGTTCAATTAAATATGGACAGTACTGTCATGTATAATGTGAGATGACCCTAATCAAATTAGATTTAGCAACTCTTACTGGCCACTGTATACAAGGCAAGAAAAGTAAAACTCAAGTCGATAAGCAACAAGTTCAATGTGGAACCATGAGTATCAGTCTTTATAGCATACTTAAGGCTGCTAAAAAGTCCACTCCTTTCAATTGTTTTTAGAAGCTATTAGCACCAATGTTACATCGACTAGAGCTATGGAATGGTAACTTACGGGGACATGAGAGTCACATGCGTTTCTCTTGGCGTCAGTTGCTGAGAAGACTGTGTATACAAGGACGAATGTGCCAATCATCTCAGCTCCAAGACCACTTCACTTGTTGCTTTATCTTCTTTATCTCTCTTGAATCATATAAAAATGGAATGAGTTCACGCAAAGAAGCTAAAACTAATCTCAATTTTGTCAAAGATTATATAGCTTTATGGTCTCATCTCTCACATGCATCAACACACTAGAAAGAAAGTAAAGAAACAAAGAGTAGTAACAACAAGAGAGGTATCAATTAATTGGCCATTGGTCAAAGTTGTTTATAAGAGAGATGTCATATTACTTATTTACTTACATCTGAGCACAAGAAAAGCTTCACAAAGTTCTGTGCAAGTTGCCAGAGAGTTTCTCCTTCTTGTGGTCTTAAAACAGCAAAAAAAAGGTTAGAATAGTTTAGCTTCCAGCTATTATCACCAACACAAATCCTATCCTGGAAAATGTTAATAACTAGAGCATTCTTAGGCAAGAATCACTTGCAAGGACCTGTTCTCATTTGTATCGAATACTCACATCAGACACAAAATGTATAACAAAAAGTAAAGAAATAATATCTTACACAAGTAAAAGAACAAGGTAGGAACGGACAAGAAGTTTGAAGATTAGGAATCAAGATTCTGCAAACAAAAGAACGACATGGATTATCAGAATCATTACAACATAACTCATCTTTAATTGAACAGCTACAAAGCCGTAAATACCTTGTAGTTCTTGTACTGAACAGCTACAGAGCGGCAACTACAGATCCACAAATCTAACTACACATCAGAAAAAGAAACATGAGACATCAATAATCATGAGAGCAGTGGCAGCGACCGGTAAGGACTAGAGACAAGAGCTAGGAAACCAAATTAGCATATACGAGAGCAATAAACTTTTTCACACTAAGCATTATCTCAAGATACAGAAAAAATAGAGTCTAAACTCAGACAAAAAAATCAATCGAAAACACTGATTGAAAGTCAAACACCCAACCTCACATAAGAAAGAAACACGATTCAAATCAACAAACAAAAATCCAAAACCCAATTACTTCAACGGAGTCGAAGAGAGATAGAGACGGAGAGAGACGGCAGCGGCGGAGAGATATGGCGATGGAGGAGAGAGACGGTGGCGGATCTGAGAAACAACCACAGAGAAAGAAGGAGAAAGACAGAGACGGATAGTGGAGAATTGATGGAGATTGTGGTGTTGATAATCGAGATTTCTTCAATAGGAATCGAGAGTTCATGCAATGGGTATTCAGATTTCACAATGGAATCAAACACTTTGAGATTGAATTGAAATTTTGGAGAAAGCTTTTTTTTTTTTTTGGAGCTAAGTGTAAAAAATAAGACTTTTACACTTGAGAAATCGAGACTTTTTTGGTTTGGAGGGGAGAACCCAATTGTTTTGCCTCCAAAATTATACATTTCCCCGCTATAATACTTGAGTTAAGTTCCCGTTTAATGAAAACTATATCCTAGCGTTAATATAGTGCTGCGAAATACTTGTCATCCGATTTTGGAACTTTTAGTAGCAGTTCGTAAATTAGCGCTACAAAGGACTGCTACGGAAGCTCATATTTCTTGTAGTGT